AATCGAGTTATTTTATTGTCAATTTTACTTTAGAAAACTTTCTGGAATCAGCAGGCAGAAAAGATTCCCAGGCAAAACTATTTCACAAGGTCCCAGTACCCAAAAGCCTGTAACAAAACCAACTGCACCACCTCAGTGAGACTACTCATGACAGTGTGCAACAGGGCCAAGATGCAAGTAGAGGATTCACACATCCAATATAGCTATCTAATAAAATTAAGATGCCTGAAGTCAAACTTCCCTGCAACAGCAGTGGATATGGCAGTGCAGTAAGACTGGAAGTGGGGATTATTTTAACAACGTGTGAGGAACAGGACTAGGGAACTGATCTGGTTTTAATAACTGTGTTACAGAAGAGGAAGGGATAAGTGATTCCAAACCCAATCTTTGTGAGTCAATGTGTTAAAATGATCCCACTAGTACAGCTGACAGAGAGCAGCAAGGCAGCTTGAAGACACAAAAGCAGAGGCAGAGTGCAGAAACAGGCAGGCAGAGCACAGAAATGTTCCACTAAGGGACGTGCTCAAACCTCTGGGAGAGTGCTCTAATGAGGATTAGATTCCTGTGACAGCAGTGAAGAGCTTCACTTTTGGATAGTTAATAAATACTGCAGCACCCTAATAGCAGTCACAGTCCTATTAGGTGCAAATGGGTTTCAGTATGATCAGCTCTACAGATGAGATATGCTTGCTGATTAGTTCCTTTATTCAAATTAGTACATTCAAAGATCCATTTCAGTTTCTCTTGGAAGTTAAGTGACAATCCTCAGCTGAAACCAGTCAAGATGAAGACAAAGCAAATTCTAAACAAAAAAAAAATTGTCCTGCTTTACTTGGACATAAAGATTCATAGCACATACCCATACTATCACTGACTTCATCATAGGGAAACTATATTAAATTACAATACTCAGAAAAAGGAGTATCACTGTCTCAGGAATAAGAAAATTTCCATGGAAAGAATCAAAGCTGAATCATCTGCTGAAATCGAAGAAAAATTACAACATCTGGATACTTATAAAGGTCTCTGAAGAGAAATCAAACTAAAATCTGTTGAAAATAAAAACAGTTGATCAGAAGCTTTAAAATACATCAACTTCACTTGACACTCAGTTACAAACACTCAGCCAAAACTGAGTAAAATGAGTTGGAAAGAATATCCAGACTCGCATATAATGAGCCCAAAATATTTTCCAGGAAACCAGGGAGACAAGCTTTAGCAAGTTTGCAACTGGCTAGAATGAGTGAACTGAAGCAAAAACCTTGAGCCAGGGGGTGTGGAAATCTAGTGAAGAAACTGAAGACATTAGCTACTGCAAAAGCCGCTGATGGGATCAGGCAGCACTTGGGCAAAAGTGGACACCTGCTGTACCACAGAGTGGAAAAACACTGTCAAATCCAAGTGAAGAGATTCCACTGCCTGCTCAGTGGGCTCCAACACCTACACAGTGCTTCTCTTCCAGCATCACCCTGCATAACATCTAAAAGTCAGATGTTTCTGGGTGACAGCTTCCAGCACAGAATTCTGCTAGCTATGAAATCAGGGAACGGGAGGGACACTACTGAAGCAAAGATCTCTCACCTACCTCATGTTAAGGATGACACTAAGTGAGGACAAGGTGCTGTGATTAAGTGCCAAACAAGAACAGTGGTCACTAGTAAAGCACATACTTTAAGTGATCTCAGTCAAGTACAGTTTTCCCTGATCAAAGAAACTTCCTTTTTATTCTCATTATATGATTATACCAGAGCAATTCTTCCCTGCATGCACAGTACCAATGACCTAAACATGAACTCTGCAAATTAAGTATGAAACTATTAGATTCTGACTTCATTGGCATATACAGATTTTCTAGAGTGCTTACTGCTTTCTCTGTAGCTAGGGAACGCAGCACCAATTTGTAAAATCCTAATTAGTTCAAGTTAATGTCTAGAATTTCAGTATCTGAAGGGGTGCCAAATTTACATTTGCTAGTATTTGATAATATATTTCAACACTTGCCTGATTTTACTGCTTTTCTCCCCTATGTATAACAACTGCCCCAACTCCTCAATCTCAGCACTTTTGTGCTCAGGCAGGGATTTACTAGGGAAAAAAAACCTCTGAAGTGAAGGACATCCATCTACCTTCTCCCAATGACCACACCCCAAATGCTACAGCTCTGGTTCATCCAAAGGGCCACCAGAACTGAGCCCACACTGCTGCACTCACTGGCTCCAGCCATCCAAGAGTTCTGCTGAGGTGCTGCCACCCACTGCAGCCTTTCTTTTTTTTCTCCTAGAGGTAATGCTGGGGGAAAACCTCATGGGAAAAGACATCCATCTACCTTCTCCCAATGACCACACCCCAAATGCTACAGCTCTGGTTCATCCAAAGGGCCACCAGAACTGAGCCCACACTGCTGCACTCACTGGCTCCAGCCATCCAAGAGTTCTGCTGAGGTGCTGCCACCCACTGCAGCCTTTCTTTTTTTTCTCCTAGAGGTAATGCTGGGGGAAAACCTCATGGGAAAAGTTAAGACCTTGTTACCACTGACTCACAGAATATATATCCCAAACAGCACCGTTTTGTAGTGCATTAGTGAACACGGGACCAGTTTAGGACCTGCTGATCCAAGCTTGCCCAACTTAAAAGCAAGCAGAAAGAACAAAACTCAGCACCAAATAAAACATCAACCCTGTTTTTCAGCATTTAATTACACAAAAAATTAAGTCATTTTCCTACATCAGTTTACTTGTTTCTCACTGAAGTTCTCTGTCTGTCATTGCTTATCAGTTTAGCTATAACTGACACTATTTCCTCAGAGCACCTCCGGATCAAGTTGTTCCAGTTTAGGTTTCCAATCTGAGGGAAAGAATTGCACCCTGCTTATTTATGAAACAGTACATAATTATTCAGTGTCTTACTGAGGGTTTCATTCACAGTTTAATTCCCTCATTAATATTCTCTGAGCACATTAAACCTTTTTAGCACTTGTATATTTGCATGCACCAAACCCAAGAAACTGGATACTTCTATTATTTGTTTCAAGCCGTTTCCCTTTCAGTTGATCTACTGAGTTGTCCTGTTCTCAAGTACTATTCACTTGCAAATACAATATAGAAATGAACTTTACACTGCAGTTCACCTAGAGTAAAGTTTCTTGCCCTTTCTGCATTCCATTCAACATTAAGTTTCTAGGTATACTCAGAAGAAAACAACAAAACTAAGAAAGAGACAGACAGACCAGAGAGAGTCCAAAGGAATGCCACCAAAATGATCAAAGTGCTGGAGAACCAAGCCTATGAGGAGAAAGTTGGGACCTTTTCTCCCTGGAGGAGAGAAGGCTCAGAGGGACCTCATCACAGTATTGCAGTACCTTTAGGTACTGTAGGGCAGCTGTAGAGAGGACACAGGTTCTCTCTTCACAAGGAGCCACATGGAGATAACAAGAGGCAAGAGATACACGTTGCACTGGAAGACATCTCACTAAGATGTTCTTGCATCTTACAGGAACAATCGTTCACTAGAACAACCTCCCCAGGGACATAGTATAGTCCCAATCACTGAAGGTTTTCGAGGTGTGACTGGACAGAATGACAGACAATCTCATCTAGGCTCTCCTTCTCACAAAAGGTTGGATCAGATGATGTTTCAAGGCCTCTTCCAACCTGGACAGCTTTATGATTCGATGATTCTGACCCTCAGACCAGGTCAATCACATCCTATAGCAAGACACCTGAGAAAACATATCTCCTTTAACTTCTGCCAGTTTCATTGCAATACCATTATTTCAACTTTCAGCATCATCTGAATATTAGTTTCCCAATACCAAGCTCTACATGAGATACATTAGTTCTGACTAGTTTCCCGTATCTTTATCACTCTAAGCTTCATGTAACTATTAGGGGAACCCATTACAAATATGATCTCTTACTGCAGTGCCTTATACCTGCTTCTTCCCATCCACTCTTTAAGAAGTTTCCTATTTTACTGAAACCTACTTAATGGTGTGCAATATAATATTTCAAATCTTGTCAAATTGAATCTGACAGCTAAAATTTATGGACATACAGATCTATTGTACAATGTTACTTTTGTTAAAAAAATTAAACTAACTGAAAGCAATTACATTGCTGATATATCAGTGAGTTCCATTCTCCCTTTCTCAGCTCAGAAGTAAAATTCACATCCCACACCAGCAAGGGCTGAAGCAATTTCCATGTTCCACTATGTATAATATGGTCACTAAATACAAGCACTAACAGATGAAACTGCAGGCAAAGCTCTTGCCAGCACAGGAGGTACCATTAGTTCAATGATCAGTGCTGTGACACCTCACCAGAGGTTGCAATAACCTTGCAATAACCCTGGGCAGCCTTCATGTGCAGGAAATGGTATGTGATCAAGATTTAAGTGATCTTCAAGAACAATGGAAGTAGGAAAACTTTCAAACTTTTATGTCAAAATACTGACTGTCCCTGCCTTCAGTTCTGCACACAGAGAAGCAGAAATTAAAGACCTAGGACTAGTGCAATTAAGGCTGTTTAAATTTAACTTCCAACAGCACGATAGCAGGTTTGGTGTACTCCCTTTGACATAAACTACAGCAATAATCATGAGAGTTTACAGCCTTGTTAGCATATAGAGACACTTTCCAACAAGTCTAAATATTTCCTTCTCTCAACAAGGATTTATTGTATCCTCTCCCTGTAGTTTACCACCCAAAAAATGGGATTATAAAAAGTAGCTAAGGATCAGAAATATCAAGACCAGTTATACATATCTGACTTAAATAGCATGCTTCAACAATGATGTGCTAAACAGCTAAAAGCTCTCACATGACACTTCTGTCCCTAGAAAACAGATTAATTATTGACAACCTACAGATGGAAAATAAAGTCCTTTTCTAAAGAACTGTCAGCCACTGATAGTTGACAATAAGCATATTTACACTGCAAAACAGCTGAAAACTGTTCTAGTAAGGTCATACATTCTACAGCAAGGACAGTACTACATACCTTGTGCAAGCATGTTGAACTCCAAGAACAGTGCTATGTGATACAGCTCCATAGCTTCTTCAGCCCTAGTCATGTTTAGTTTTCCTGCTACAAGAGCCTGAACTTCACTTAAACTGCCCACTGAAGGACTGGAGTGCAAAACTGAGAGGTCCACCACATCTGTATACATACAGTTCAAAATGACCTTAGCGTATTTTTTTGGTATGATAGATTCATCCAATATAATTCTAGTTGGAGTTCGTAGAGTTCTGTCTGTGATTTCTTCACCAGTTCGTATCCTCCTCTGCAGCAAGTGCCGAAAAAACGGCGACCGAGACGAAATAATAGCTTTGTGAGCTCTCAGCTCTTCATCTAGACAGTTCTGACTTCCACCAAAAGTTTCAACTAAGTCCGAGTTGGATGAAAAGCTAAGAACCACATCGTAGTAGCACATATAATCGAAGAGTGTGCGCATGTCAACATCTAAGGAATTTGGTGTTCCAAATTCTTCACTAAGCTGCACAAGGATATCAACATTTTGGAATCTTGAATCCTCCATCCCAAACTCGCCCGTATAAAGGTAGTGTAACAAAGCAGAAAACATAGGCATATCGATGCCAGCTGTGTTAATATCCATTATTATTTCCGCCCCATACTCCGGGGAGGAAGAAAGCAGCGTCTTAAAAAAGGGACATCTTGCTGCCAATATCGCACGATGCACAGGGAAACAGGTTTCTTGGAATATTAAGTCTACATCAGTACAATATTTGTACTGATAAAGCTCAGCCATGTCTTTTTGTAGCGTCCTGGCTTCTGGTCTCGCCAAATTAGCTTGTAGATAAAGTTCCTTTAAGGCTGACGTTCCTTCGTATTCTTCTACCAATGCATTAACATCTCTGACGTCCCAGCCCGAGAGGAGCTCACGCATCTGCTTGGCGTGGTCAGCGGATCGGCTGGACTTCCGACGCTTAATGAATTTCTTTTTGAGGGTGGCAAGGCCAGAGGTTTTCTTCTTCTTGTCTTGAGGTTTCTCGTGGCCATGGTCAAGGCTGTACAGCTTTGATTCACAGCCATAACCTTGATGAGAGTAGGATGATGTCCCTGAAAGGTAAAAAGGAAAATTGAACATATTTTCATTTTCTAAGAAAGGGAATTAGAACCTACATTTCTACAAGTAACGGCAAACCGAAGTTTTAGTAAAATAAGCAGTAAAAAAATAGTTTAATGACAGAGTCATGCTCCTGCTTAAGGGCTATTTTTTAATTTAAGTTTATTTACAGACTTTTCACTCTAAGCCTCAGACAAGACTAGAAAATAAGAAAATACACAAACCCAACTACTACTTCTGGGCCAAAGAGGAAACCAGAAGACAACATTTGCAAATGGTATACAGATCAATAACAATCACAGGTTCATCTGAAATAGCATTTGTCCATTCTCTGCTGGGAATAGCTCACAAGTTCCCATTGGTACACTTGCGTAGCTTCTCTACTTGTTGTCTTTTTTTTTGAGCTTTGAGTTCGAAGCACATCCAATAACCAGAGTCTTTGGGGCCTTCTAAAACTTGCTCTGGATTGCACTCTCGCAGTTCCATTTGTTTCGGGTAGAATTACTCTGATGCTGTTTTGTGATGCTGTTTGGACAGTGATGCTATGGGCCAAGTCTGTCAAAACACAGTGTTCACCATGTGATTTCGAGTGATTATTTCTGGAGCTTTGAAACACACAGGAGTGATACAAAGCTGTATTTGAGAGCATGGCAACTGTAGCAATCTAAGATCACTGTATTATTTAAGCCTCAATAACTCTAAGTAAACTTACACAGTGGCTTTATGCCAAGCTAATTAAAACTCCCACAAATCATGCAATGCAATGGTTTTATAATTCATCTATTAAGGAAAACTTTGGGAAGGAGCTTTGCTTTATTTAAGGAAAGACATCTAACCATTTTAGCCAAGCTACATTAAATTTTGCTTGATCAGGCAATGTGTTATTCAACATAATTAATAATTATGTTGAAGATTTTAATAATATTAATAACATTAATCACATGGAAATGTCATGACATGCAAAAAATATCAATTTAAATTAAAAGAACAGCAGTAACTCAAGACAACCTCAACAAAGAGGTTGTGCTGCAAAATGCAGCACAAAAATTCCTTCCACATGCTATACTAGATACGACAATAGGAAAGTAGAGATTCAGCCTCCTGCTGATAGAGACAAGCCTAGAATTTCTGCTTCATTTAAAGAGCATCGATTTTTATTTCACAATAAAAGCCTAACCGCACTTTGGTCACTCTATAATGATAGATTCTGCTCCAAGAGAACATGCCAGCTCATTTCTATTTGAAGTATTCTGGATTCTAACAGCAAATTTGAGTATGCAGAACATTCTCTTGCATTCCACTAAGGAAAAAGTAGGACACCACAAGTCTCGGTTTCTTTCTTCCCCGAAGGCTGCCGTGAGGTATTACTTGCACATGAATCACCACAAAACACTAAAACGCCATTCAAACCTTTGTGCACCCTGAGCTACTTACCAGATTTAACTGTGGAAAGACTGCAACCAATGCTATTAACCCTTACAAATACACAAAACACTGCTATGAAAGCACCACCACACAACAGATGTTTTGTCAGAGGCAGAAGTAGAGATGCACCAGCCCCAACAGCTGTTGGCTCCATACCCCTCAGAGAAGGAATCTGGAAGAGAATCTTTTTGACCTGCTGTATTCCTTCATGAGGCAACAGCATTAGAAACTAGAAACAAAAAATTATTCCCCACTTCCACAGCACCGATCTATTAAATGCTGTTCAAAAACAATAGCTACTTCATGCCCCTAGACCATACCTAGCTTTGAACAAATGAATATATAACAGGAACAGATGACTGGCAAGAGAAACTACTTGGGCACTTGACAATGAAAAATGGGATCTGTTTAGTCCTTTGCATGCCTACACATTTTAGGATCTAATTATAGAGGTCTATTTAAAAAAACAAACATCTTGAACAGATGTGTCACCCTAGAAAATGGTGTGAAATCCTCCTCCTGAATGCTGCAGACAAAACAGCAACATGACTAGTTAAGCTTTTCTTAAAACAAAAGTATTTTTTACAGTAAGTACACTACACTATTTTCACTGATTTACCTCCTCTTCATAAACTGCAAGCAAATTCAACTGGCCATAGGAGCTCATCCTATGAAACTGCTGTGCTTTTCCAGAGCAGTTCTCAGCTTTTAGTATTCATCCTACATTTACCATGTAACATGGTGCAGAGCCTTAATGGTAAAGCAGCATGTCTAAACCAAACCCTTAGGCCTGAATCCAGTTTCCAGGAAAAATGCAACTAACACATATTATGCAGCTACTATAACTCTATCCCCTAGTTCTACCTTGGGGCAGCAAATAGATCTAATGCCTTCTAAATTAAAAAAAAAAAAAAACCCAACAAAAATCCAACAAAACAAAAAAGTACAACAAAAAACCCCAAACCTGTAAAAGCTGATATAACATTAAAACATTATTATTCTACAAGTAACAAACCCCTCAGCTATCAATTTTAGGATACATCTGTTTTCTACTGAGACAGCTACACGAACCAATCATCCAAACAAGAATCAAGATGAGAAAGAGCCAAACACCTCCAAGCCAGAAGAGATCTGTGTGTGATGTAGATAATACACTCATGGAACACCGTAACACCAGAAAGTTTCAGCAAGAATTTTACTCAGAACACTCCTCTGCCTTGCCTAAGATGACACAATCACATGCTTTTAGGCCTTCCTCAAAGAGTCTGAACCACAAACTTCCATAGGCAACGGGGGTCAGTAAATTCATTGTGACATACTACATCACTGGTTTCCATTTTGAGTTTAATAATGAAAAGCATCGACTAAACCTTCCACATACCACACAGAAAGTTTCTGGGGAATTTACTGAAGCCTCTGGAAATCTCTCCTCTTCAAACCTGCTCAAAATGTGTTTCAGCATGCAGATCAGCCTGTTTCCAGCCCTGTAAGGGTTTCTCTTCACTCAGTATAGTGGCAGGTTATAAAACACCAAGCTACGTAATAAAAACATTATAGCTGTGATTTTTAGAAAGTATAATATGTAAACTAGGGCAAACCTTTTACTACTGTTAGCTATGATACACTAAAAATATGTAAACCTTTAATGGGAACTTTACAGCATGGATATCCATGATGTCAGAACTAATAGCTCTTCCTTGGCATGCTATGACAGCACACATGGAATTTTTAGGCCAGAGCACAGGTCCTTACATCTAACAGTTTGTGGCCTGTCCTCTACACAGATCTCAAGAGTTGGGAGTGCTACAAAAGCTGAGACAAAATAAAGTTTACAAAGCAAGTCAGTTTTCCCTCTGCTAAGGATACCACTGTGCTTTCATTGGTGAATAAAAAGAGAAGTAACACTGAGTATCAATAACTACTTGTTCAGTGTTGCAAGCTGAAGCATAAAGGAGAAAAGCATTTATAAACTATTGATGCTATTTACTGCTAAGATCATTCTTCAGACTGTCAGGGTTGGGTTTTTTTTAAAAGGAATATTTATCTCCTCAAAAACTTCCTTCTTTCAGATTCATAACATAACTATTTATTATTTATAGTGTGTCAGTACTTAGATCTCCACTGAGGTATTTTTGTACTAGCCTGAAAAACACATAAAGGTAATGCTTGCCCCAGTTATGACTGGGATAAGAAAATAATTTCTGAAGGGCACTCCAACTCATGTTTCCAGCTAAGCAAGGGCCTTGCTTGTAAATAATACAGTTAGGACAATAAGTATCCCCATTCCCTACCTACAGGCACAGGAGGAGGAGGAAAAGTTGTCTTCAAGCCTCTTCGTTACTTTAACAGGTTTATAACCAGAGATATCCCTTCTAGCAATAAGGAAGTAATTCACTCTGACACAATGCCAATACTACAATGAATATTGATGATCAAGAAGTTCTATATGTTCCAACACAGTTTCACAGAAAATCTGAGGAAGGACAGTAGAAAACAGCAACTGCTCTTGAACTGGGAAAACTGGCATGCATGGCTTAATTATCACAAAAACCGCACTTATTTCATTTAAATAACCTGGCAACTGTTTACAAATGGCAGATCAACTCATTGTGTACAAAGGCCAAACAGATGGACAGCACCAAATTTCATGCACGATTGAGCTTGAATGGATTCAAACTGGTGACCTAGAAAAGAAAAGCTCTACGTAACAATACTGCAAGCAAATCATACCACAAATACACAATCCAGCAAGTCACTTCTGTAAGTGACAAGATAACAGAGAAGAGTTACCTATGAATGTCTGTTGTGCCTGTGAATTTCCCCCTACCCTTGGGGAACACGAGTGAGGGTAGTTAGATGCATTAGCACCCATTTTCTTCAGTCACTCAGGCATTCCGCCTGCTGGCTCTTCAATTTTAATCCCATAATCCTTTATACATCTTCAATCCCAGGTCCAGCATTCTGTTCCTCCATTCCTGAAGAACAAAAACACCAATAAGGTACTTGGTTATTTTTTTCTCAGTAGGTATTACGCGATTTCGATAAGACAAACTCAGCTTCCAGCACACAGTATTGACATAAAATAGAACCTCAAAGGCTTCCAAGATAGCTTCTTATTGGAAGGGTTAAACCAAGATGATAAATACTTTTTCTCCCACAATAATTTTCCAAACCATTCACAAATCAGTATGATAAATTGTAACACAGAACAGGATGGCTATCAAACTCTTAGCTAAGAAATCTTCAAGCATAAGTTGGTCTAGACAAGATATGCTCCTTTAACTATACCAAGAAAGACTTTTTATGCATGTTCTTATATTCCCACATTGCAAAAAATCCCAAATTGGATTATACTGATTGAGAAAGCCAGTAAGCCAATAATAAGCCAGTTGCACTGGAGGTTATACCATCATCACTGCTTTCAGCTGCATTTTTATTTCATAACATTTAAATAGTTCTCATTTGGTACTTCAGACTTGAAAAGACCTACAAATAGATTTATAATAGTAAGAATAAGATATCTAAGCAGTAAAGGAACGTTTTATTGGGCATTTGAAAGCATTTGAGGAAATCTGCGTTCATTGCTAAATATACAACAAACACATTCTAATTTATTCCTGTATTAGCAGTGTTAAAACACACTAAAATGCAAGTTACCACATGAAGAACTGTTACTGTCAACTCGTGTGCCCCTTCCAAAACACACACATGCAGATAAGAGAGTGACACAAAGCTAAAGTCTATATGAAGAATTTCTTAGACTCCATTGTATATTAGACTCCACAGCTGAATTAAACTGCACTGTCACAGGTATACCTGTATTTGCTATATGCTCCCAAATTTATCTCCTTTCTTGCAACACCTCTGGCATGTTAAACTGGCCAAGTAAGAGCCAGGCAAGGGCACGTGTTTCAAGGAAGCTGCAGCACTGTTCCAGTCTCCTCTGCTCACTTTAATGCTCTGTTTATTTCTGGCACGAGGAGCTGAGAAAAGGGAGTTCCTGTGACGCTGGAAGGTGAGATATGATTCTCAGTAGAGACGCACACCTGGCCTCTTAGTCAAAAACTGCAGTGCAGATGCTGGGGAGCAGAAAGTGAGAGACAGGCCATGAAGGAAAAGGCTGCAAATTGCTGTAGGCACAGAGATAGTGCCTGGAATTAGTGCTCCAGGATTTGAGAGCTGGCTACACGAGGCAGAAGAGTAGGGAAGGGTTTGGAACGCTGCCTTACAGATGTGGGTGAAACACAGGCATGGGACTGAAAGAAGCGTAAGAGTGCATTATTTCCAGCCATCTGATGCCTTAAAACAGGTTCCTAAAAATTATACTTTTTGGCATTTATGATCTACGACACGAGATGTTTCCAAAAAGGAGCCACACCACCTCACACTAGACATGATGCACAGGCAGAATCGCTGCTCTGGAGCACACACAGCCCAGCTCAGCCTCACACAGCTGCAGTCTGCTGATCACTGGCTGAGGTCTGCTAAAGCAGGAGACACAACCATCACACCACCACAGCAGCTTCCCTGGTATTGCACAAACTAACCTGAGCCAACCTACAGGCTTGCAAATGAGAAAGGGGATGCCTCCATGCCTGCCCTCCCTAGCAAGGTGGCCAGGTCACCTCAACTGCATATCATCTTGAACTTGTCTCCATGCAGATTTGTCTTGCTACACATCAGGAAACAAAGATAAAATACCTTCCTACATGAGTAGTGAGCCTACTCAGGATGAAGTTAGAACCAAAGCACATGCAACCTCAGGCCAGCAAACAGCAGTAAATCTTCTCAGCAAACACAGGCTGTTGGATCAGCTCAGTCTTAGCCAATGCATGTACTCATTTCCTCCCTTGTGCAGAAATAAGTTAGCTATTCTAAGAGAACAGAATCCATATGGATGCAGATCTTTTCTTCAGACATGAAAACCTCCACTGATTTAAGAAAAACACCTTAGAAAATAATTTAGTTCAAACAGCGACACTCCAAGTGATTCGGTACCCACACAGAATATGTTGCTTGAATGTGGTGTCAGTTTCCAGATGGAATTGGTTACATCCAGGAAGAGTCACCTTTCAGTCTGAATACTAACTCTCTCACAAATAAAGACCAGCAACCTGAGCAGATATTCCAACAACTTCCCTTTTCTCAGCTGCAATTGGACTTGGTTCATTTGGACTAGAGTCCTGGAATAATGCCATTGTTATTCCACTTTCCTCTTCCGTATTCAGCTGTGGTGTGATAACTTCTCTATTAGATGTCCACTAACAGCTTTCAGCTCTTGACACAGGAAAGAGCACAGGAGCTAAGTAAAAACAATCTGTTGGGGTTTTTTTTGCCTTACTAAGCAAGCACTAACTATACAAAACAGTCTCAGATTTGAAGTCAGTATCTTCCACCTCCTTCCACTTGGCAACAAGTATGCCCCAAAAGATGGAAGGAGTATATACAACTGTTAATGCTATTAGCAGTTAATGCTTGAATTTGCAAACCAGGATTTAAATTAACTCGAAAATTAATCATTAAAGGTGCCTAAAATATACAACACATAAAATAATTTTATTCAGAGGTTTACCACAGCAACACTGTTACACACTAAGCCCAAGTGAGTACCAAGGAGAATGAATTCACTCACTAAATTTAAAACATGTAACTTAAATAATAGAGGACAATGTTGAAATAGGATCATATTGAAACTGTATACATGAATACATTCATTTACATAAACTATATATGCACATATTTATAGAAGGACACTCAAACATGCCAGGTTTCAGCGGAGATGACTATGGTTAGTCATTTACAGATGCCAAAATTTCCTGTGACTCCTTTCAAAATTAACCACGCAATGAACGTGCATGGGCTGATTCCTTGAGAGCATTTAGCATCTCTGAATTAAAGATGCTGCAGTTCATAACAAAGTGTGTTGAGACCCAATGGCTCAAAACTGGTCATCGCTTCAGTTCCACTACTACTGTCCTTAATCTTGTGTATCAGCCCAAAGTACAATACTTGTATTTTTTTATTACATCACTAAATATTACAAGACTTTGTATCACCCATGTTGTATTTTCCAAACAATTTAAACTGGCACCCATATCCACTCTTCCTACCTTGTTTGATCTGTCCCAAATATTTTGTGAACCAGGCAAACTGACCCACATTAAAACCAACCTAAGCAACAAGTTTAAGCATTATCAGTCACCCAACTTGTTTGTTATGCCATCACATGAATATTTGCAGTAGCACAGGTGGAAGAAGAACATGAAGACAAGCTTACTAGTCTTTGTAGTAGACTTGTCATGATGACTTGCAGTAATGTAGTAGAAACAACTACATGAACTGGGATTGCATCTTTTGACAGCAAGGTATACTCAAACCACTCATGGATTTAAGTGGGGGTTTTTTTTGGTTTGTTTTGCTAAGGTTCACTTGAGCCTCTACACTAAACCTAGCCTACCAGAACAGAAGTCAGTCTAGCACATAACCTGCTGATTGAGTCAATATATCTCAGTCACTGCAAAAATGCCAAGGAAGCTGTTTTCCCATGGTGGAAGACACTTGTAAAAGGAGATGAATATTAAAGCAAAGAAAAACCTCCAAACCACAAGCTGTCTTTGCACAAGTCACCCTGCATACCAAAACCTTCCCTATTTCAACTTAAGAATTTTTTTAATCCCATTTTAGCCCCAGAATAGTCACGGAATGTTGTTTGTTATAAAAACTACCATCAGATGAACTTTTTCTCGCCTTTGTATTAAAGTTCACATGCATCCACGTAAGCATTACCAAAATGAAACTAAACTCAGCATCTGCTGACCAACTGCCAGAGGATCTCTTGCTGAGAACAGTGACGCACACACAGATGTGCATTATGTACTCACACATGA